CTAGGGTAGTCGCAGTTTGGTAGGTATAAATGTGCTTAGATCAGGATAGCTTATTCCCATACAGGAAGGGGAATGAACTGTACTGGTGTATGGCATTGTTATACCAGTATAACTGTATTCACCCTATGGGTTTTACTGGTATAACTATTTAAAAAAAAAAATTCACACAACTGACCAAAATTGTTGTACCGGTTTAAAAAGTGTGTAGACCAGGCCCATGTTTTTCTAGTAGCCGTGCTCCATTTCAATGTCATGATCTTGGATCACCACCTACTGACTGCCAAAGGAATTTACCTAATTAACATTGCAATGAAGAGTAAAGTAGTTTAATAAATATTCAAAGGAATGTTCCCAGCTCCACATCTTTATAAGCTATTACATTTCTATAAAGGCTGATCTATATGCAGTTTTTGCACTGATTTAACTAAATTTCCTGATGTAAGCTGTACCATTGTGAGCTGGTATAAGTGTCCACACAAGGGGTTTGATCAATTAAACTAAATCAAATTTTTAAACAATTTTAGATAAATTGGTTAAGTGCGTATACAAGATCTAAGTTGGGAGAAGGTCTCTGTCTTTAGTGTTCTACTCGGCCTCAGCAGAGCCAGGCACGACTCTGGATCACACCTTACAAGCCAAGGGGACTGGGTGAAAGCTGCAAATGGAGCCCCTCCGTCTAGTTACACTAATCCCATATCCCTGTTGTGCTCTGCTCTGACCACTGTTTCAATTACGTTTCTGAACAGAGCCTTAGCTTTCTTATGAGTAATGGGAGGTGTTCCCTGTATCTTTATGGGAGTGGGGTCTGACAAGTGGACGTGTGCCAATGAGTCCGATGCAGGAATCTATTCATCTCCTTTGATAGGGGAGTTGGTTTGAGTCCTTACCTGGTTGTGGATGAATTAGTGGGGGAGAGCAGAATTTTTTCTTGTTCTGAACTGCAGGTTTAAAAGTACCTTACACTGTGTTTAAAGAAAACGGTGTGTATACATTTAGTTACGGTTTGCCAAGTTACCACTGCACTTGGAGGGCTTGTTGCTATTCGTGAGCAACCCTTCCTTGTTCGGCTAGTCTGGGATGGCTGCTGCTGTTGTCTGCAGATGCGAGTTTGAAACACACTATTGCTGACAAGACTCTCAAGACAGTTTGTAGAGAGGATGGGTTTCAGTCTATCCATCCACACCTCTCCTCCTGCTTGTGATTGTCAGGACTCTTGCATTTCTTCATGTCGTTCATACCTGGGAAGTGGGAGAATCAGTTTGCTTAAATGCTGCTGTTAGAATTTTTTTACATTTTAGGAGGCAGGGCAAGGAGCCCAATCCTGGCAATTTCTATATTTGAATTATAATTTCAGGTCTTGGTGATGTTTCATGTACTATGTGCAGTACTTAGCAGATGTAAAGTGTTCTGTACATGCTAAGAATTAGTAGTAGTAAAATAATGGAACAAGTATTAAGAGGTGAAACTTGCTGAACATCTAGATGATAACTGGACAATAATGACACTTACAGATGGTGTAATAGGAGGTATTACGAGCACTAGTGAGGACAGAGAAATAATACAAAGGGATCCAAGAAGATTAGAAATATGGGCAGAGAATAATGAGATTAGGCAGGAAATGTGCAAGTGGATACATCCGGAGAAAAATAATCTGAAATACAAATATTCAGCGGGAGGGAGAAACCTGGATAGGAATACTGGTGAAAGATAGTAGAAAACCTCAAATTAAAAATGAATTGGCAACAGCGTGGCAGCAAAACAAGCCTATGTGGTTTTGAACTGCATTACTTAGACATAAAGTCACAAAGCAGGGTGTGATAGTCCCCTCTAAATGGCTCTGGGACAACTTCATCTGGTATACTGTATTCAGCACCAGAAATTGATTGAAAAATTTGGGAAGTTCAGAGAGGAGCAGTAAAAATGATTATAGTTGGATTTATGAGTCAAGATTAAGAGCTAAATATATATGTGTTGTCTAAGCATCCACTAAGAGACATAGTCTTTTCACCCTTAAAATTTTTTTAAGTGACTAAACGTGGGAGCGTAGTTATTTAGGATGGTACAAGTGGATGTAAGATAGGAGGAAAGGAATAAAATTAAATTAAGAGGGAAACTTCTGAAAATGAGATTGTTAGGTTTGCGGGATAGTCTTTTTGGGGTCATTTTAAAACAAGATTAAATAAAACAATAGAATATGTCCTGCAGGGAACAATCCTGCATTATCAAGAGGATAGACTCTGTGACCTAATGAGTCTTGTCCATAGAATCCTAGAAATGTAGGGCTGGAAGGGACCTCGAGAAGTCATCAAGTCTGGCCCCCTGCGCAGGGGTAGGACCAAGTTAACCTAGACCATCCCTAGCGGATGTTTGTCCAACTTGTTTTTAAAAGCTTTCTAATTAGTATTCTGTTCTCAGGGTTAGAGGTACTGTCAACTTGAAAGCTAGTCCAGTTAAAAATAAATAAGTTAGTAGTTTTAGATACTGCCCCTTCCCTAGAGTCCTGCTGCCAATTTTTATTTTTATAGTTTTACAATCACAGTTTCCTATTTTGTTCCTATTTTTAAAATGGAAAAACCTGCACAGTCATGGGGAACTGACTTATATTGAAACTAACTATAGACAAAGAGCTGTCAAACGGACAAGGAAAATAAACTGAAAAAATATTAAAATTATTGTTCTCTAAACTTTCAGTTATAATAATCAGAGATGTTATCTCTCACAATGATAAGTTTAAAAAGTTCTAGACAGAAGCATAATTAAGTTGATGGTGTTTCTTTAAAATCTTCATTTAAAAATAAAGTCTTCAAGCCTGTCTTCATTTAAAAAGATAAACTTGTTTATTGTATTAGTTTAGATTCACTTAAAGGTTCAAAGACAGGGAACTTGTCAGGGTAAGGGTAGCAATTGGGTAGAAATTAAAGCATGGTAGGGCTACCACTTTTCTGGGCTTTTGGGGGAAACCTTGCATTGCACAGATGATGCATTGAGCGAGTCTACACTGGAAAAAATTGTAGCTATATTCCCATAGCTGCCAGCAGTGGTGCAGCCATTTTCATGACATGGTGGTAACGTCTGAGCTGTGTCTATGAATTTAACAGTGGTGTGGTGTGGCTGCACTGCTGCTGACAGTTGCTGAACCATGCCCACTAATTTTTCTTTCTTTAATAAGGTTTCTGAGTTCTGTTTCTGCAAGCTGCAGTGCTTATATGCAGCTTTGTGTATGGACTGGACTTCAGTAAGTGAAACTGGCTGTGTGGTTAGGGTCCATGGCTGCAGCTCTGCACTGCTAAATGGTGTTGAATGCCCTTCCCTCACCTTCTTCCCAGCTACAGGCGTGCATGATCATGTGGCCCGCAGGGGACACAGGCCAGATATATTAGTGTCAGAACAAATTTGGGATTCAGCCAATGTCTGAATGACCTGTGTTGGCTGGAGGTGCATTGAATTTATCATTGTTTCATTCGCCCTGAAATGGGAGCTGCAGGCACTTTGATAAATGGATTGAAAGATTTGTCTAGTTTCAGCGGAGCTCCCTTCAGTGTCTCTGTATTCTCTGCTAAAAGACTACTATGTAATTTCCTGCAGCAATTACCCCTTGGTGAATCCCTTCCCAACAGAGATCCCTTTTCCTCATCTAGTGACAAGACTGTTTTCCCTTTTGTCTATTGATTTAAGTACACCAATATTACAACAGGCTCTACTACCTCAGGGTGTTATGGGAGGAGGACCCATGTCTGGAATAGCAGGTGAAATTTAAAATCGGGATTACAGTACATTGACAGTGGTGAGCAACCTCCTAGCCTGAGATTATTCCTTGGATTTCTCTGGTGGGGTGATGGGTGCAATAGAAACAGAGCAATAGTCCAGTCTTCTAAGGTCAGAGAGACTGGAATGTCATCGGCCATTCTTCCTTTACACCAGGTGACTGAATTCTTCCAGCCATGCCTCTCTCCCTTCCCTGAACGCGTGTAGATGAGGCCTGACAGTTGGGCAGAGTGGCTACGATGATGATTTTTGAAGTGCTAGGGCTCTCTGGAGGCATGGCAGTGTGGGATTTTTACCCTCTTCGGCATACCTTTTGTCTGGTGGAGTATCTGTTTAATAGACAACCAGTTGGCATCAAATGGCGCCAAAAGCTGCTAAAAAGCCCATTGTCCTAGCACAGAAATCTCTGTGGGATGCCCTGAGCTGAGGGAGGAGTATAATTAACGCCTTGTTTGAAGGTAGCGATGCTAATGATTGGGAGAGAGCAAGTGCTGCAAGCCTGTATTCTCAATTCTCAGTTCCCCATGGCTCCTGTCTGTCTTCTGAGGAGTAGGCAAGAAACATGAATTCCAGTAATTGGGTATCTGGGTAATCTGTTTTGCACAGATCTGTCCTGGAATATAGATCTCTGCTCTCTCTTTTACTAGAGTATAGTAGCAAGGAATACTGCCCTAAGCAGAGGTACTTGGGGGCAGTGCCGTGAGGATGCAGTTTATCACAAGAAATATTGTAACAGTTACGGGACTGGGAGAAGTGGGGTGTGCCAGCCAAGCACACTGGCATTTTATAGGGATGTTAGGACCAATGCCACCCGCACTGGAATGCTGGGAGCACTCAGGAAAAGTCAGAAAGAGAATTCTATTCTATAATTTGGGCCTGAGGAGGAGATGCAGACCAGTCAGGCCCCGAAGATACATCTTACATGACTTAGTTAGGGCATCCTGTGATATTTCAAGGGTGTGTAGGTCCGGAGCCCCAAATATGGCCCCTTCATTCTACCCAGTATCCACAAAGCTGCCAAAGCAAACTTAAAAAATGAAAATCTGTGCTCTCAGGGGAGGAGTGTTCCTTTCTATATAAAATACAATAGAGGACTTGTTTGTGTGGTAGTGTGGTGACAGTGAATGGGATACTGAGCTGGGCTGGATTGGACACCTGTTTGCTCTTCTTAGATTGGATTCCTGTTCCATCATTTGTAGCGTATTAAATCCATTTTCTCCTTTCCCCTTCTCCAGGGTAACCAGGAGCCAACAGCCACTCCTGATGCAATGGTCCAACCATTCACCACAATCCCGTTCCCACCACCCCCACAGAATGGGATCCCCACAGAGTATGGGGTGCCACACACTCAGGACTATGCAGGCCAGACCAGCGAGCACAATCTGACACTCTACGGAAGTACGCAGGCGCATGGAGAGCAGAGCACGAATACGCCCAGCACGCAGAATGGATCTCTTACGGTATGCACAGCTAGTTGCAGAGGGGGAAAACCAATACAGTGCCATTCATACAGTGCTTTTCCTGAAACTGTTTTAGGTTAGATTACCTGATAGCTCTCTTCCATCCCTAATGTCTCATAAGTGCGTAGGTAATGTTGCTCTTGTATCAGAGGTGGGCCGCTTGTACCCCAAAAGTGAGAGAATTATGAAAGCCCAGTGGCTTTCACATCCCAGTGCAATGCTCCTACCTTCCCCCTTGGATATACTCTCTTGATAAATTTGTGTTTGTGAAGAGAGAATTATCCCCTCTGTCACAACAAAGAGCAGCAATAGTTTGCAGTGGCTTTCTTAAACGTTGTGACTGAAGTGTAGCCTAGAACAGCCATTTAGGGATGTCCAGGCTTTACAAAGGTGTTAACTACTTTGAGTTGATTGGCAATCAAATAAAAAAAAACAACTAAGTGAAAACAAGCCCTAAAAGGCTGAAATTATAGATAGGATTAGAATTAGTAGATACAGATGAATTATCCCAGTTGAGGGAGGTGGTAGAGTGGGGAGACATTTTGGCTTTTTGAAGATGGCCGTGTGCGTGGAGGGTGCAGGGGGGCAGACCTAGGCAGGAGACAACCTTTGGCTGCTATGCAGCCATTTACTAAACAAAGACTTTCACCTTCTTCCTTGTTCATTTTCATCTTCCCATAGCCTGGAACTGGACAACATGCTGGCAGATTATCCCAGGGAAAGCTTTATCCACCCCTTAAGCCACTTGTTAAGATTTAACTTCCTAATAAAGAGCCTTATGGTGAGAACCTTCAGTGCAAAGGGATGGATTTAATCTGCTAATGCTTTCAGTTTTCCTTGTAGTTAGGTGCTTGGCTGCTAGAGATTATTTTTTTTCCCCTATAAGTACGGAGTGAATTTAGTGCCAGTGATTGGAAGGACCGATATAGTGCCAGCTCAAGTGTGTATGGATGCACAGCATGTAGCACCCTTCTCTCTGTGATGGGCCATGGCTGCACTGTTGACAGCACTGGTCTTGACCTTGAGAGATACTTCGAGCTATGGTGTTCACAAGATGAATGGATTCTCTCTCACAACTGTACAGAAGGAAAGGGTATAAGCCCGGTAAAGTACATTGACCATGCTTTCAATTCACTTCAAACACCTTACTAAGCCACAGGGCAATGCAATCCTAATTAATGACAGATCATGACTGGAAATGGAACCGAAGGCTGATGCAAGGCAAGTGCAGAGCCATATAAGTAACCTTTATGACACTTAGCTGTCCCATGTCCCACCCACCCAGTGAACACAACACAGGAACTGGAATTTTAGTTTCCTGCCTGGCAATGCAAAGCAATACTAAGCGCTACCAGCTCAAGATGGAGTTGGATGTTGGGAATGCAACCTAGATCTCCTGCATGGCAATGCAGAGTGCTTCCTGGCTTGTCTGCTTTTTCCATGCGTTTATGTTGTTCCTGTCTTTGTCCAGACATTAAGAATGTTTTTTTTAAATGGAAATGAATAATGTGAGCCTTGACCCTGGACACAAGCTGCTGCCAACCCTCCTGTTCCTCTTCCATATTAGGAACCATCTCCACTGCATTGCGGGGAAGAGCTCTGTGTTTCATCGACTAATACAAGCTCCAGAGAGCCAAAAGAACGAGAATAGGAGTCTGCATATGTGCTCTGGCAGGGTGAGGCAGTGGTACTTAGTAGTCTATGAGGAGAGAATAGAAGCTCGTGTGGGAGGGAGTGTGTTGTTGAGTGCCTGCCATGAGAGGGAGAATTGTTGTCAGAGTCTGTGGAGGGAATGTAACTGGGAGAGGTTAGATGATAGGTTGGCTAGCATGTAACTTTTGTACCAACTACTGGGAACAGTAGGCATGTCTGCTCTAACCATTTAACATAGTTAAAGGTGCGCAAGTGAACACTGCAAAGTAGAGTGCACAGAACTGGAGCTGGCCAGGAAGGGGTAAAGGTAACCACCTCCAAGAAAAGACATAAACACATTAGTGGTGGCAGTTTTTTAACCTGAAAGGATTCCAGTTGGTGGTAAGCCACTGTGTGTTTTTCATGGAAATCCAACGGGAGTGGACAAAGTTGCTGAGGGCTTTCCCAACCTATGTCTTACATGCTTTGGGCCTTGAATCTTTCTGCACTTATCCCTTTCTATTCCTCTAGTGGAATCTTAGTGTATGAAGCTCTTTTGATTCTGTGGAATATAGGCCCTGGGGTGTATTTGCTTTTAGCTTTATTCTTTGCTCACCACACTGAGGAGTCATGTGGGGACTGAGCGAAACTCACTGTATTGTGTTGGAAGTAGGAGGCTTAGTTACTCAGGCCAAAGGTGGGTGTTAGAATACAACACACCAGGTAGATGATACTACCTTTCCGAACACACCCATAACTCACAGGCATTGTCCATCACATATGCCAGTTATTACATACATACTTGTGTGTGTTTGTTGCATGTGTGCACTCATCTGTCACACACAGGTTCTCCCTCTTTCTCATCCTGTCTTCTGGCCCACGGGACTGTACTAACCTAATATTGTATAAAGTTGTCTTAGGGCGTCTAATGCGCTCCTCTTGCTACAGCAGTCAACAAGAGCAGCTGCCCTCACATGTGTGCAAGTGAGATCCCAGACCCAACAGGCCCGCAGATTCCCCTGCTGTTGTGATCTTAAGCCTGGACTCCCAGGGGCATTTCAGGAAATCCTTTAACCAGAGAAAAGAGACCTTTCCCTGCTTTTAAGATCAGAGTTTGTGCTGATGTCCATTTGGTGCAGTACACAGTCAGTTAGCAAAAAGGGGATGGGAGGAAGAGCTTAGAATTCCCGCTTTTCAGCCTGGCAGAGGCTGGGTCATTGCAGAATTGTTAAACTGAGAAGACAGGGTGTCATTTTTGAATTGGTTTTGGGTTGGTTACATCTGACATAACAAGCCTGTGCGACAGTGTAATGAGTTCATCCAGTTTCTTTTCTTATGAGCTAGTCAGGCTCTGGCACACAAGCCAGACAGGCTGATGTGAGGAGACTGACAGTGGCAAAGTGAGTTAATTAACACAGTCTGGAGGCCTGAGTTCAAATGTCAGCTCTGGTCGCAAATGAAATAAACTTCGGGAGTCAAGGTCCACTCCATACTGGCCATTTCTCTACATCAGGGGTAATCAGTTATTTTTTGTCAAGGGCCAAATTTCTTGGTCAGGGTATAGTCAAGGTCTAGACTCCGGGGGGAGAGGGGGAAGTGAATAAAAATATTTGGGGTCCTTTTAAAAGCATCTGGTAGTTCGGGTTTGGCCCGTGGTCCCCCTACTGACTACTCCTGCTCTACAATGTAAAACCAGTGCACATTCTAGCATGATTGTGTTGTCAGCCAAGGAGAAACCTGGGACTGAAATAACGTTTATGCTATAGGTCAGGATTGAGAAGCACAGAAATGGAACTGTGAATGGAGGAACTTGCACATTAATTGCTCATATTATGCTTGAGTTTAATTTGTGGCATTGGCCGCTCACTTATTGAGGATCAGACCTCATGTGCTGGGCTGTGTTTCCTGCCTGGTACTTGGGGTTATGAGTCTATTTCCAAAGCATCTGGCCTTTCTTTCCACACTGTGCCCAAAGCACAGTTGAGAGAGCTGGATCAAAAATTGACAGGGACATCAGTTCAAACTTGGCTTAACAAAATAACCTGCAGCGGAAGAGTCTGTTTCCCTGACTGATACCTTGCATCTCAGTTTGTCAGTGCTGTGACTCTTGAGTTTTTATCAGATTACAGAGGTAGACATAAAACAGCCTGAGGACTCTCCATCTGAGACAGCCCAAGGTGTAAAGACTTATTTAGAGGAATGATTGACCATCTAGTGAACTAAAATGGCTTTCCTGAGAGTAGAAAACAAGAAGATTTCCCTATAAGGTGAATAAAACTGATGAAAGAAGCCAGTTGAATAGTGGGAAGAAGCTGTGTGTGTGTGTGTGTGTGTGTGTGTGTAGCTCTATATCTAGAAGTATAGCTGTACAGACATAGACGTATGTAAATTACTTTATATGAAAGTTCCTGATGCAGCCTCATAAATGGCAGGTGTTGAGAGCTTGCCTTTTGCATTATGTCATGAACCGGTACAATACAAAATCTAATTGCAGAGAGCAGTGTCTGAGATAAGTCTCTGACGTACCGTCACTTAAACACATTTAGTAAATGCAGCACATCTTCCAAAGGAATACAGATGTACTTTTTTATTAGAGAATGAAGAATCACATTCACAGTGGGATCCATGTACCTTAGTCAGTGTGACTGGTGAGATAGGGACTAGACTTTCAGATTTCTGGGTGTCTTATATGCATCTAAATGTATGTTTTTGAATGTGCAAGGTTTTCCTAGGACAGGGTGTTCCCAAACTTTTTTTTTAGTAGCATGAACCGTGTCTTAACAGAAGGATTGTCCCATGGATATCTCCTCTCCCACAAATAATGTAAAATCCCTATGGTAACTACAGCAATTGTGTACCTAGGAAATTTAATATTAAGGAAGTATGTAATGTTTACATTTAGCTGTCTCTTAATGCAGTTTAACAGGCGAAGGAGGAGCCATCGCTATGTGACCAACCAGCTCTCTGTGGACCACTCCATGGTCCACAGTTTGGAAACCACTGGCTTGGGGTAACTAAATATGAAATTTGGAACTTGAGAGCATGGTCTGACCATGAAGCAGATTAGTTCAGTTTTCCACACTTACAAACCACTGTTTAATGTCTAAGCAGGGCAGCTGTTCACCACCACCTTCTCTGGCTTGTGTGCCAAAACCTCCCTATTTGATAAAAGATGAATTTGGTCCCAAGAGACTATCATGAAGGTTCTGGCTTGGTGGCCATCAAAACAATCCTGTCTGGACACTGCATGTCACCATTGCATAGAAGAACATTTAATACATTCAGAGATTCCAAGGTCAGAAAGGACTCTTTGTAATCCTCTGGTCTGGCCTCCTGTATAACACAGGCCATAGAATTTCCCAAAATAATTCCTTTCTTATTATATTCCTAGCATGTTCTGAGTTGCATTTAAACTTCCATATTGCCATCTCTGGAAATTGGGCTCCCTATTTTTAAGGTAAATAATACAAATGGAAATGGATTTGTTAATTTTAAAAATGAAATTTAGTGCTGTTGAAAAGTGCCAATTGGCACTGGAAGTCCTCTCTCTTCAGAAGAGGTACAGCCTGGGCAATGACCATTCAAGTTCCCACACCCACTGCCCATGACAGTGTACTTCAACCTTAACTCGGAGGAACAACCTGTAGGAGTGAGGGGGATTCAGTGTCCATGACCCTTTAAGTCCTTAACCTGCACTTCTATTTAAACTGCTTCCTAGGGTGTCTGTTATGATGGTAGCTTTTATGATGTGAACATTTACCTATTGGAAGCTGGACTGAGACCCCTCCACCCCCACCCCAAGTTTCCAAAAAACTTAACAAGCAACCTTCCATTTCTGTAGCCACATAGCCATCAAATAGTTGTGAATCTCAGTCACTGCCTTCAATCATTCCATAGCTGGTGAGCTAACCAGTTTCCTGATCTGGGGCCCAACTATAACTAGTGGAGTCAAAAAATGCTATAGCTCAACCCCAAAGCTCATAAACCAATCTAGTTCCCCTCTGAATACAGGCATTAATAGTTTACATTTTTCTGTCCGTTTTGTAAATAAACTGTACCCACAGTCTACCCTTGTTCTTGGGCTACACAAGATTCTGGATCTTCTATTTCCAAATATTTTAAATTTCCATAACTTGCATCTGAAAAAGCAAGCGAGGGAGAGAAACAAACTGTACTTTGTATTTATAGTCTCTGTGCTGGCTGATACCTTTGCTGTTGTCAGTCTCCCTTTGACTATTCACCCTATGTCTGCTCACCCAGGCAGATAAATATTCTCTGTTGGCTCAAGCAGTATAGATCCCCTGCTTCTCCGAAATCTTAACTGAGACCCTAACTTGGGCATGCAGTCTGTGGAACTGGCTGCTTCAGAACAGTTTGGGGCCATAAGCATAGTGCCAGGTGACATTACCACCAATGTATGCAGAATTGTTGTACCTATGGTGGTCCCAGAATATTAGAGAGACAAGATGAGTGAGAGAATATTTTTTTATTGGACCAACTTTTGTTGGTGAGAGAGACCAGCTTTCAAGCTTACACAAAGCTCAGACCTGAAGAAGAATCAAAAAAGGATCACCACCTTCTCTCTCTAATTACCATCAATGTAAATTACACAGACTAATGTGAGATTGCAGGATGGGGCTAAAAGCATTTTAAAATCCAGAATCTCTGCCACAGCAATGTCTCCTTGTTATTGCCTCCCTGCTGGCAGTTGAGATTTAAGGAACATAAAGAGACTCTGCACCCCACTGTGCTGAACTGACAACAGGTTGTAGTAGGTATCTCGGACTTGTGGAGGGAGAAGTCCAGTTCTCCGCTGTCAGATGTTGCTATCAGGCCAGAATGAAGTAACTGAGAGTTAGTGTGAGGAGGAGAGATTTGGTTTGTGAAGTGTGTGTTTTTTATTATACGACTCAGGGCAACTTTCTGCCTCCAGTCTCCATAAAATGCTGCCTCTAAACAAGCTCTAGGCCTTTCCCTTTCATCTCCTGATGAATTAAGTCAAGGAATGACCAAAAACAAGACCTTAGGAAGCCATTTCTTCTGTTTGTATTTGCAGCTGAATATACTGCAATACACAAACATATCAAGCCAGTCTCATGCTGGCTGAAAGACTGAACCTCACTTTAGGGTCACAGACATTAGAAATGGGAAAGAACCATTAGACTGCTGAACCCATCTCCTTGCAAGTGCAGTTTATAGCTTTCAGAGAGGGAACATATCTGACATTAGCAGGAAACTCTTGAATTCATGTAGAAGAATGTACCCTTCCGCATTGGTGTTACCTGTCTCTGAGCTTGGGAGTCTTATCGTAGTCAAGGTGAGGTTTGACAGAAGACCTCTTGACTTCCCTGTTTGAAGCCTTATCTCATTGTACAAAGCTAGCATGCTGTAAAATATTGTCTCTTGTATGCCATATACAGGCACAGCTGTGAGGGATTTTTGAACAGGCCGCTGTATGACATAGTACAGGCTTAGTAAGACATGAGTTCCTACCTCTAAGAGTTTTTACATTCTCCTCGGTCCACTAGTTCACAGCCTCCTGGTTTCCATGCCTATTGAAGCAACAGACCTATTCCTTGGCAGATTACATCAGAAACTGTTCAGAGTCCTTAAACTTGTGCTGACATACCTCACTTCATAGAGTCTACACTTGTCATGCTTGGGAGGGATGGACAGAGGGTGCATACCTATCTGGTGGGGCATGTGTCTACTTGCAACTTTTACCATCTGTTGCAGGAAGCACAGGGCTTGGAAATTTGCATTAATGGGACTCCAGAGTATGCATAAAACCTGACTGAAGAGAGATTCCCTTCAAAACTCAGTAGCACTGGGGGAGTTAATGATTTCTGGGGGTTGTTTTGGAACACTAATTTCTAGGCACTGTTTGCACTGGTGATGGATGAGCCGCCATGTGTTCTGTCCTTTTCCTTGGACAGATTTGCCCCCGGGAGCAGAGGATTCTGATGGAGTCATAAAAATAAAACTGCCAAATAGCATGGTGTGATTTAATCACAAGCTGACTGCATTGATTCTTCCCCTAGGGTGCACCACGCATGTGTTTGGAGATGCATTTTGTCACGGGGTGAGGGGAGGGAAAGGCATCTGGAAGTGGTACATTTTAGATATGGCATCTGTCAAGATGTTGTCTGTGTCTGATATTTGGGGGTGGGTAAACCGTTGCTGATTGTAAATGGTATACTCCGTCCAGTGTGTGGTGGGCTCATGTCGCTCTGCTGTCCCCTTCACTGCAACTTGTGAATAGAGATGCTTGCATAGCCATGCCATTCCACTCTCCCCCTCACTGCTAGTTTATACCAAATGGATCACATTCATTTGTACTGCCTGCATCGCTTAAGTGAAGCGAAATGGAAAGCTGCCGTTGCTTTGATCAGCATGCCGAGGCCACAGTGTTCACTGTTAACATGCTATTGTCGGTCCTGTATAACTCGTGTGTGTGTCCAAGAGAGAGGCTTCTGGCTGAGAGAATTTCAGTGCTACTGCTGCCCATTTTGTATAGCAATGGAGAGATGCCCCTTTTCAGGTCTTTGGGACTATGTCTATACAGCAAAGAAAAATCCACGGCTGGCCCATAACAGCCGACTGGGGCTGAGGGGCTGTTTCATTGCTGTGTAGGCTTCTGGGCCCAGGCTCTGGGACCCTCCCACCTTTCAGGGTCCTAGAGCCTGGGCTCCAGCCCAAGCCTGGAATTCTACACAGCAATGAAAGAGCCCCACAGCCCGAGCCCCGTGAACCCAAGTTGGCTGGCACGGGCCAGCCATGGGTTTTTCTTTGCTCTATAGACATATCCTGGGAGGCTCCCAAGTCTTTGCTGCACAATGTTCAGGACACGCTGGGTAAGTCCAGCCAGTGGTGGAGGAGCCCAGTCTTTAGTTAAGTCCCCGGGAAGTATTTCTTTGCACATTTGATAGACAAAATGGATGTCCAGCAGCAGTAAAACACTTGATTGTTTTAAGCTGTTAGGGCCTGGATATGTCTTTGCAAGTGTCTAAAACAGGCTGAATCTAGTCTTTGCTAGCCCTTTGAGTTCCCACACAATAGGTTTTCACTATTGCTGTAGGTGAAGGGGAGAAGTAAGTCCACACCATGTGAGAGAGTGAAGCAGGGCTTAAGAAATTTACTAGACATCCAGCCAAAGCATTAAACCTTCATCTGAGACAGGTGACAAAAGAAGGGGTGAATAGGCGCTCTGGTGATTATCCTGGCATACCATTCATAGCTGCTGGAAAGGGACACAGCAATAAAACTGATCAGATTATTATCAATTTCACTGTTCTGCTGGCAAACATGAGTCAGTGAGTGCATTTTTCATGTCTCAGAGTAAGGGATGGGTTCCCCCATGCTGGGGTTAACAAAGTCTTGACACAGCTTGTGGAATCTCCTGGAGGAGAGATTCAAATGGAGATTAAATAAATCTGGCTGTTTCAATTTCAGTGTTAAAACCTCCTACCAAGACATCTTCATTTGTGCCTCGATATCATCTATGATGCAAAACAGGTTTAGGGGCAGCACGTACATTCTGGCTGCAAAGCCCAAAAAGGAGTGTGGCTCGTTGAGTTTTGGCAGAACCTAAAAATGGCAATATTTGTTTATTTAATTTCTTGAAGTAGATTTAAAATTAACTTAAAATAAATTAAACATAAGAATGCATAGCCATTGCCCCTGGGCTGAACCATTTTAGTATAGGTCATATTTGGAGGTGGTACTTCTCTGAATGGTACACAGCAGAACAGATGCAGTTTTGCCTGGGGGTGCATTGCTGACATCAGTCTGTTGGAAAGCTGCACCTCAGTTGTGGGATTTTGATTATTGCATCAACATGCTGCTATAAGAGATTAGAATAATAATATTACTTGCCAGCGTGGGGACAAAAAAGAAGACCCACCTCTTCACTGTAGCTTTCCAATGGTAACAAGGGGGAAGAAAAGCCAAGGGAAAGAGAGGAGAAACTACTTTAAAAAAAGAAACCTACTAAGATAAAAGATTATATTAGGGGAGGAGGGGAGAGAAAGACGACCAAGATCCTCTTACTATTTGCTCATGGAAAGGAGGGAGAAATAAAAGATCAGTTGGTTGCTGGGTTTATCATACTTACTGTGTCACGAGTACAAGTGTAGTGTAAATCCATAGGCAGAGACAACCTCATAAGGGTTGGTTGGAATTTGTATGATTTCTCTTCACTTCTCTTTTTGTCACTGTTTGATTTCAGCAGACAGAAGGAGGGGCACAGACAGATGGACAGCAGTCACAGACACAAAGCAGTGAGAATACCGAGAGCAAGTCCACTCCAAAGCGGCTTCATGTCTCTAACATTCCCTTCCGCTTCCGGGATCCAGACCTCCGACAGATGTTTGGGGTAAGTTACTGAAGCCCTTAAGGAACAATAGACTCTACTTCACTACAAGTACAGTACATGGTGACACTGATGGTGTGTCCATGATAAGAAAAAAGGTGTTTTTACAACATATTAGTTAATGTGGTAAAATCCCAATGTGAACAGGGCAATTTGTATTTTTCACATGTTAGCAGGGCGAGGTAAGCACTAGGTAGGGTTTACCTCTACTTGCTATCACTTGCCCTTTCCGCACTAAGATTTTATCATGTGGTAGCAAACAATTGATAAAATTCTGCCTTGTTGCCTAGTAAAAATAAGGCTTCATAGCTAAGGTTGATTTAGTGTTTCCATTCTAAAGCGTTGTTTTTCAATTGCTTACAAACTTTCTGAAACATTTAAGGCCCTCCTTATGATTGACTTCTGGGATCTTATGAAGAGATTCCTATGAAGAAATAGGCCAAATAATATTTGAGGAGCCATTGGGGAGGGGATAGTATTTTAAAAAGTATATAACATACACATTGTGTGTAGTTCGACTGTATCTTTTAGCCTGCTCCCCTCTCCACCCAGCCTTCGTACATTACCTACTTCTTAGATTGTAAGCTCTTTGGGGCAGAGACTGTCTTCATATGTATGGCCAGGAACTAGTCCACCATGGACACACAAAAATTCAAAGGATGATACAAGGCTTTGCAAGAGCTATGCTTCAAGTGAAGGGTCTATACAATCCACAGGAACCTTTGGCTTGTTGGCTGCTTATCCTGTGTGGCTGACAGTGCAAATAGTGTTGTCTGCAAATAGTTCTGTGTAATTAAGTTTTTTGTTTTTCTTTTAACAAAATCTAGGGAATTTTATTTAATAAAACAAAACAAAACTTTGTTGCAAACTAAGGCTGCAGACTGAAGAACTCAAGTCAGGAAATACAATGTTAAGGTTGCTCATGCAACTTTGATAGTTGTTCCCTGAATGTTGTGTTAAATCATTTCTAACTGAACCCTCGCCTACTACTGGTTCTGCAGGACTCTTGCTTCAGACATTGTACAGCTTGAACAGTAGTCAGTGAATGAGGCAGGTGTCCTATGAAACCATACCTAATTCACATCAGCAAACTATCCCGATGCGAAGGAAAGATCAGAAGAATAGTAAGAGGTCAATTTGGCTCCATCAGGAGTTCTTTAATGACCTGAAAATCAAAAATGAATTCTACAAAAAGTGGAAATAATGACAAATTGCTAAGGAGAAGTATAAAAGAATGGCACGAGCATGTCGGCACAAAACAGAAAGGCTAAGGCACTTAGCCTTTGAGTTACACCCAGCAAGGGACATAAAAGGCAACAAGGAGAAGTTTTTTGAACACATTAGGAGCAAGAGAAAGACAAAGAAAAGTGTAGGCCCACTACTTAGTGGGGAAGTAACACTAATAACTGATGACATCAAGAAACCTGAGGTATTTAATGCCTAATTTGCTTCAGTCTTCACTGAAACAATAATGGTGACCAGATACTCAACACAATTAATATTAACAAGGGGGAAGGAGAAGGAATGTTACCCAAAATAGGAAAAGAACAGGTTAAAGACTAGTTAGATATGTTTGATGTTTTCAAGTTGGATGGTCCTGCTGAAATTGATCCTAGGGAACTTAAGGAACTAGATGAAGTAATCTTGGAACTATTAACAATTATCTTTGAGAACTCTTGGAGGACAGGTGAAGTCCCAGAAGACTGGAGAAGGGCAAATATAGTATTTCTTTTTAAAAAGGGGAACAAAGAGGACCCAAGGTCTTATAGACCAGTCATCCTAACTTTGATACCTGGAAAGATACTGGAAACAAATAATTAAACAATCAATTTGTAAGCATCTGGAGGATAATAGGGTGGTTCTTCAAGTAGATGTGGCCTTGTATTCCATGTAGGCGTGTGCATGCTCAGTGCACTGAAGCCGGAGAACTTTGCCTAGCAGTACCTGCAGGGGCGGTGCTTGTGCCCTGTGGCCCTAGCCTCTACCTGGCTATATAAGGGTGGCATGCCCCAACCCACCTCAGTTTCTTCTCCCCACCCGTGGCTAGAGTCAGAGCTATGTGTGGTGTTTCACCTTATGTTTTCAGTGTCAGTTTTTCTGAGTTTTTCCTCTAGAATAGTAGTTAATAGTCCCTTAGGTTTAGTTTAGTGTTAGTAAAGCATTAGAGTAGTTGGTTTCCCTGTGGGAGGCCCCTCCTTAATAGTGATCCCCACATGAGGTGCTTGTTGTATCTCGGTGAGGGACACATTGAGGAATGGTGCTCCATCTGTAAATCATTCAAAGAGGATTCAGGTAGCAAGAGACTTACAGCCAAAGCAGCACCTTCTGGAGCAGACCATCAGGTCACTTCAGCACCAAGGCCCTCATCTTACAAGTGGTTGCCTTCAGAACCAGCAAGCAATGCTGTTCCATGTTCAGACTCTGGTGTTTCGTCCAAGAGAAAGAGGAGTTGTTATTCCTTCAGTGCAGCGAGAAAGACATCCGATAAGACTAATCGGAACCATTTCAGGCTCGGGAGACTGTTCTGCTTCTTCTAAGAGGAGTGCTGACCAGCATCACACTCCTTCTGGCATGTGGGGTGGAGCAGGTTGTCTAACCAGTCCCTGGTACTGCACCGAGATTAGTGAGAGCCGGTACCGTTGACTCCCTGGTTCCAGCTACGGGGCATCTGTTGAATCTGGTACTGATGATGTTGGCACCAGTGTTAACTGTCTCCACACCAGTGGCATATCAGCAGGCATCAGACCTGCTTTGCCACTCAGTCCCTGACTCTTCACTACTTCAGGAGTTTTCCAGTGCCATAGCTTCTACTACTTTGTTCTCCATTACATCTTTGGCACCTTCTGGCTATGTTGCAAAGCTGCTGGGCTCGTTAGCATGGCAGCATGCACTGCCCATGTCCCAAACTGTGGAGTTGAGGCTGATGCTGGGCCCAACATCAAAGGCCCCCTCGATGCTGGTGTGTCCTTTGGCACTGTCATTGCACTTTTAGGGGGTCCCATTGTTGAGTTTGGTACCACTCTGGGCCTTGGTGTTGGTGCCTCTCCCAATACTGAGTGGGAGTGTGTCTCGCTCAATACCGTCGATTCCCCATTCCTCTTCAGCAGCAATGCTGGCCCCCATGTTGGGCTTCAGATGAGTCCAATCATTTGTTCACCCCATTGGGGCTAGCTCCCCTGTTCTCACTGCAGAATCTTCGGGACTCCTTGAGATCCAGATTGGGGTTGTCTCGGTGAGGGTTGTTGTCTGATAGAACGTCAGATATGTGAGGTCACCCTAGCAACCATTCTTCCTGTGTTAAATCACAATGATTGGCTTGCTGCCCTGGACCTTCAGGATGTTTATTTCCATATGTAGCAATTCTTCCGAGCCACAGTAGGTTTCTCAGGTTTGTCATGGTAGACCAGCACTATCAGTACACCGTGCTTCCTTTCATCTGTCCTCTGCTTCCTGGGTTTTTACCAAGTGCACGCTTGTGGTGAGAAGTACCTCAGGAAGAGGGGAATTTATAGCTTCTTTTATCTGTACGCTTTGGTACTGAGGGGCAAGTCAAGAGACAAAATCCTCTCACCTTCAGTTCACGCTACACTTACTTGGTCATATAGGTCTCATCCAAAACAGTGGGAAGTCAACATTGGTTCAGACTTACAAGAATTGAGTTTTTTGGGGCCCCGCTAGACTCTGATTTTGAGACTGTTTCTACCAACCGGCTGGTTCCACATGATTCACCATCTTTGTCTGGAATTGCAGTTTCAATCCTCAACCACAGCTTGAGTATGCCTGAGGTTTCTAGGCCATATGCTGCATGCACATAGGTAGTCCAATATGCCAGGTAGTGCCTTCATCCTTTTTAGATGTGGCTGAAGTTGGTGTATCATTCAAACTGTCATCTCTTGGACGGACTAGTTCAACGTCCTCTGCCAATCCTGGACTCTTTCCAGTGGTGTATGGCAAGGGTTCTCAACCTTTTTCTTTCTGAGGCCCCCCAACATGCTATAAAAACTCTACGGCCCACCTGTGCCACAATAATTGGTTTTCTGCATATAAAAGCCAGGGCCGGCGTTAGGGGGTATCAAGCAGGGCAACTGCCTGGGGCCTCATGCCACAGGGGCCCCTGTGAAGCTAAGTTACTCAGGCTTTGGCTTCAGCCCCAGGTGGTGGGGCTCAGGGCCCTGGACTTCAGCCCCATGCGGTGGGGCTTTGGCTTTCTGCCCTGGGCCCCAGCGAGTCTAATACTGGCCCTGCTTGGATGACCCTCTGGGCGTTCCTTTCTCTCTGTCCTCACCGACCAGGCCTCTTGTCATTGTTGCCTCCTTAATAGATTGGGGAACACATCTGGGGTCACTGAAAGTTCAAGGACTGTGGTCAGAGGAGGACGCATCTCTGCATATCAATGTCCTGGAGCTTCATGCCATCTACAGTGGCTGTCAGGTACTTCAAGATCACATCAGGGACTTGGCAGTGCACATCCTTACCAACAATACCACCACAATGTATTACTGTATGTGAACAGACATGGGGGAGCACACTCCAACGTGATGTGTCAAGAGGCGATCAGGCTCTGGCAGTTTTGTATCAGGGAAAACATTACCCCTGTGGCCGATCGCTTATGTGGGATCCAGAATCACCTGACGGATCATCTCAACAGAAATTTCTCCCTGAATCACAAATGGACCCTGAAGCCCAGAGTTTTATGGTCAATCTTTACATTTTGGGGCATCCCAACTGTCGACCTGTTCGCCATGAAAGACGACAAGAAATGCCAGCTGTTTTGCTCCTGAGGGGGTCTCTGTCCAGGCTCCTTGACCTTTCTGCGTGGGCTGGGAATTGTCATCCCTGTGTGGTTTTCCTTCAATTCCAATCATCCCGCAGATCATTCTTAAGCTGAAATTGGACTCTGCCAAGCTTATTTTTATTGCTCTAGCATGGCCAAGACAGTGTTGTTTCTCCAACCTCCTTGCATTATTGTTATGGCTTCCCATATCCGTTCCTCTTCATCTTGA